GTGGTAGGCACACACACCCTATAGCAAAAACCTCTCAAAAAAAAAGAATCTAAGTATATATACATACAAATGCATATAAATATATATATAAATACATATATATGTGTGTGTGTTTGTGTGTGTGTATAAATATATACCTATACAAATGTGAATGTACTTATGCAAAGATAAATTCTGGAAAGATATATACAAAACTATTGGCAATAACTATCTTTGAGAATTGAGCTATGGGAAAAGAGAATTAGAAATTCTTTTTATCTTATACAGTCTTTTTTTGGGGGGGAAGAGGTTTTTGCTATAGGGCGTGTGCACTTGCCAGACAGAGAGAGACAGAGAGACAGAAAGTGAGAAATCACCCCCCAGAGGGGATGGCCACGCTGCAATCCCTTCTCCTCCATTCTCCTCTCGGAATTTTGGGCACATACACACACATGCTTGGCATGAGTTTTAAGTCACTGCAACTGGGACTCGAACCGCAGTCAACTACAGCGACATAGCCATTATACTAGCTGCTAGTCCCACAATCTTTTTTTTTTTTTTTTTTTTAAATGATAAAGATACAGAGCCAGCCCTGTGGTCTAGTGGTTAAAGGAACCAAATTCCACATGCCTGACTGCATTCTGAATCCTAACCCCAGAGATTTGAAAAACAAAACAAAAAGCAGCACTGAGTGCATTTGCACACATGCCTCAAAGCCCAATGGAATAGAGAAATGGAGGAGAAGGGACTGCAGCATGACCATGCCCTATGGGGGATTGCTTTCTCCCCCCATCTGTCTCTGCACTCTCCAGCAATTAAAAGAAAAGACAAAAAAGATGTAATACTTCCATAACAATCTTACTATCAAACTAAAATTACTGTTTACCAAAATTTAAAATTACTTTTTAAATTACTGTTAGTACAGGAAAAAACTTAAGGCAGACCCAGTCTCCATGTGCTGCTCTGCAGTGCTGGAGGTCACGTGGTTGACTGCAGGTTCAGATTCTCGGTTGACCTGACAACATGTGAGGTGCATGTGTGCCCCAAATCGTGATGAAGCCTGGAGGAAGGAATCATGGCATGACAGGAATTGGTCAAGGGTGCCCTTCTTTCAGTCTGTCTCTCTTACATGTGTGCACGCTCTCTCCCTCTTATAAATAAAATAAAACTAAAAAAAGAAAAAAAGACATTAAGGCAGTACAAACTAGAGTAGATGTGATAGGAACCAAAAGTACAAAAGTAGTAAGAGACACTATGGAACTTGGGGCCAAGGATTGTGGAGCAAGGAGGAGGGCTGCAGGAAACTGAGATTTCCAGGCTGAGTGACAGGGAAACGGCACAGCATGGGGCGGTGCAGCGTGGAAAACACATTGGCTGCAGAGTCAGAATGGTCTGGCTTCAAAAGTGTAAAGGCAAGAGGGACCAGCAGTTAGCGTAATGGCTATGTTGCTGGACTCCCATGTAGGCGACCGCAGTTCGAGTCCTGGACACGGTGGG